GGGAGTTTGGAGCAGCTCGGCTCGAAACTGTAGAATTTAGAGTCAAACGTATGGCAACGCATTGCAGGACTTTGCTACGCCGCCATAGCCACCTATTGACTCCATCGAAACCGGTCGGGGTTGGAATCCACAACACTCCAACATGTCTTCTGTCTCTGGACACAGTTTCATGTTGATGAAGTCAAAGGGTCAGATAGCAACCGTTCAGAGTAAAACCTTACACTTCCTGTTCTCAGGCCTTAAGTGATGTCATCATTCGACCATAGGGTATTGTAGGACACCAAGGGATGATCAATCACTGAAAGTTTGGTGCATCTGTGAGTTTTTGTGTAGGAGATATAACAGTTTATTTTTTTATGGCGAGTAGGTGAACTTTGACCCCTGGTAACACCCCCTCAGCATGCTCAAAAACTCACCGTTTTGACTACTTTTAATCAGCCATGCCTTATGAACAATCTGATGCATTCAAGTTTGAAGTTGATTGATCAAAACCCCAATCAAATGCAAAGGCTATTAACGGCCAAAATGGGGTAAAAATCAGACATTCAATCCAAAATGGTCGACTTCCTGTCTGACTTGCACGATGACATTAATTGTATTTTCTGAGTGTCTTCGGGAGCCCTACACTTGTACCGAATTTCATGTCTTTACAAGAAACTAAGGTCATAGTGGAGGGTCTTTTGAAAGTTGATAGGTGGCGCTGTTGATAAGTTTCTTGTGCGATTTATCCAATTACCTAAAAATACGTAAATTTCCCAGACTGTATGCAACCGCCAAGTTTGGTGAGTTTTCAATATGAAACCATCCCCCCAAAAAACCCCTCTTTATGGGGGCAGAATCGTACTGATAAACGGTATGAAAACACTTTGCTGCACTGCCACTGCGAAGGCCTAAAGATTTCTACAAAACTTATCAGAACTGAGCATCAGGATCTACTGGCTGAACGTGGCCATGGTGAACCCGTCTTTAAGGCCGTCTCACCAAACAGCCTGAAAATGAGTCCAATCCAGGAGCAGAGAGCAGCAATGAGGACAAACAATTCAGTTCACCCGCTAGCGATTCAGTTCACTCTCCAACGATTCAGTTCACTCGCTAGCGATTCAGTTCACCCTCCAACGATTCAGTTCACCCTCCAACGATTCAGTTCACCCGCTAGCGATTCAGTTCAACCGCTAGCGATTCAGTTCACTCTCCAACGATTCAGTTCACCCGCTAGCGATTCAGTTCACCCGCTAGCGATTCAGTTCACCCTCCAGCAATTCAGTTCACCCGCTAGCGATTCAGTTCACCCGCTAGCGATTCAGTTCACCCGCTAGCGATTCAGTTCACTCTCCAACCATTCAGTTCACTAGCAGCAGCCGTTTCTCAACTTACAGCTGGGACGTCAAACTCAGTTTCATTTTGGGTCAAATCAAAAACCTGAATGTTCTTAAAGGGCCACAATGCATTGATAAAACCCATTAAACTGTCAATAAGAAGCTGTTTGTTTCAGCTTTAACTAAGTGTTTCTTTAATAATATTGAACATCTTTTCACATTCTTCAATCCTCCAAGATAGTGTGACTGTTTCTGTTTTTTTGCAATCAAAATCACAGATGTGGTGATAATTTATAAACATTTGTATGGATTTGTACAATATTTACATTCATGTAACTTTTTATTAATCATGTTATCAAATTGATCAAAAACCCAATTTGATAACATGAAATCAATGATCAATTGTAAGAAAAATTTGCAGTAAAATCAGAAAAAAAATGTGGGAATCTGTTGATTTTGTGTGAATTTTGCAGATTTAAAAGAAAAAAACTGCAGGGATTTATGGATGTAATCTGGAGTATAGCGGACCACATAAAAAGCTGTGGCGGGCCAGATTTGGCCCCCGGGCCCCGAGTTTGACACTTGTGACTTAGAGTAAAATGCATCTGCTTGGAGCTGTTTCATGTTCAAAGTAAAAGGAACCCTGACCAACATGGCGTAACGTTTGTTTCTGGTTTCTCAAATTGATGACTGTATGATGTTTTTATGACTTTATAGTTTTGTGATGCACAGCTATTTAAACTGTTGATTGATTGACAATCCAGCACCTGACAATAATCAGAGCCAGTATGGTGTGACGTCAGAGTGGTCCAGTTTCCTGTGATGCTGCCAGTAGAAACCAGTCCCATCCCAGTAAACCTCCTCTGACTTTTAACCCCAGATTTCCAGGAACCAGAACCGGGCTCTGGCCCAGCTCTGTGGGGTGTGATTACCTCCCCTGCAGTGTGTGGATCGGACTCACCACCTGCCGGGTTGTGTTCCGGCTCTGCTCCGCCGCCGTCCCGCCGCCCTCCGCGCCGCCCGGCGCCCGCGGGGCGTCCTGCTCCGCGCTGGGCTGCGGCTGCCGGTGCTTGCTGGCCCGCTTGGCCTTGTTCTGCAGCAGCCGCTGGTGCAGGCTGATGGTGTGCTGCCGGTCCAGCTCCAGCCGCTCCGGCGTGGCGCCGTCGTAGCGGGTTTCGCAGTTGTTGTGATGCTGCCGGAAGAGCTCGATCCTCCGGCGGAGCCGCTCCATCACCGCGCTGTGTCGCGGTGTAACAAAATCCGCCATCATCAATAAAGACCTGCAGTGAACTCCCGCCTCAGGTTTCGTCCATAAAATGCAGATTATGGCTCTCTGTCACTCTGGGCGTCTATACACCCCCCTGGCCCTTTACAAAGACTCCTGTGCTGGCTCCATGGAGGCGACCTTTGTCTCTAACGGCCTTCAGTCGCAGCGGCACTCACTGCCGGAGAGGAAAAGTAAGGTTTCTGGGTAAAATACCGTTCAGCCTCCTCATTTCAGTTGCTAAACATCAGCTCATTTAACTGGCTGAGCTACTGGAGCCACAGTCGCTGTAACGGTATTTAAAACCTGCTGCTTTCTGGATAAAAACATCTCCAAAACAAACACCAAACTAACTCCCGACCAGCTACTGAAACTTAGCACATTCCTGCACTCTAAATCAGAGCCAAATATTCGGAAAACTCACACAAACTCGGTGTTTTTGAGACCCATGAACCAGCAGCCTCGGCCCGGACGCCGGGTTCTGTGCTGGAGGTGGTTTTCCGCCCGCTGCGAGCGACATTACTGCTCTCCAACTTAGCCCAAACTTTTATTTTGAGTCGGGAGTTAGCTTTGGTTAGCGAATAGGAGCTAGGCTGCTGAAGTTGGCTTCCGATTCAAGGAAAGGACTGCTTCACAGTTTTTAGGGATTCTTTAATAATCTTAGTAGATTACAGGTCGAAACCCAGAACGTCCAGTGACCGGACCTGGTGTGAATTACCACAAATTTGGTTTGAAGCTATTTAAAGAAAATTTTATTCAACTGTGCAAACTCACCCAAATAAAACAACTCTTGATGGATCACAAAAATAGTTCTAAGTTTAAATGTCTTTCAGTGGAGAATAATTTGGTTCATACTAAACCACTTCAAGACTTAGACAGTGGCTTTAAAGCAGGATCCAATCTAATATGATTAAGACAGTTTCAAACAGCTTAGTATCCTCTTTTTATAAATATCAGAAACGTTTTATAAACTACACAATCTATTTCTTAATGAATGTAGTCAGGCTTTACTGGCCTTTAAATGTAGTGTTAATTCTAAATTAGACGTAACTAAAAGTATAGCAGATTCCTTTAAAACTGTGAACTAGCCTTTTATTCAATCTACCAACCGGATGCCAACTTCGTCATACATGGTGAGCTAACTGTGAATCAAACTTACAACTTCTAAAACAAGAATTTTATAGAATGATTAAATCTACGGCTTTCACTAATAAATATTGTATTTTAAAATATAAGGTTTATCACACTTACTGTAAAATGAAGCAGTCCGCTCTCCCTACAGCATCTGTCCGGCGAACAGCAGCTGATCCTCCGCCTCCCTGTAGCCGTTAGCCGCTGTGTTATGGGTCGACGGGCCTGAAACATTTAAATAAATCCTCATACTTTAAGTGACTTCGAATCACCGCAGCGGATATTCCTCCTTCTCTTTGACCGAGCCCGAGTCGGGGAGTGAGCGGTTCAGAGCGAGCCACGGCTCAGGCTAACCGCGTCCCTCCTCCCTCCTTCTATTGTTTCCCTGCGAACAGGCAGCTCTGTCCGGCCATCTTGGAAACTTTCTCTTTTCTTCCATCAGTGAGGAATGTTCCTGCTCCCGCCTCACCGCTGACTGACAACCGAAACAGCCAATCAAAAACGGACATAGCCTCATCGCTGATGGACAGCTAAGAGTAATCAATCAGGGGCGAGTATTGTCTTTCGACGTAAGACGAACAGCAGAGCCAATCGGAACGCAACTGATATGGAACCAGCGCGTGTATTTTAAATTAAATGCACTTGTCAGACTTGAATTAGTAGAAATCTCCTGAGTTTTGGAAGATTTTTTAAATATTAAAACAGAAAATGTCACTATGGAAGAATACTGGTAATTTATTTTATTAAAATTATATACAATTCCCAAATATTAATTTTTATTTATAAAGGTACTTGTTTAATTAAAAACAGTTTGAGAACACATCGTTTGCCTTTATGAATCCATAACCATAAAAAACTTTTAAAGTTAATTGTAATTATTTACAATTGAGAAAAATGTTACACCGATAACTATTTGGATTTAACTGAAATTGTATCGATTAGAGCAAATTGATCCAAAATATAGATATCGATACCAACTTGATGTCAGTATCAGATCAATACTTTAGTTTCAGATTCAATCTTGAAATTTGATTCTTTTTTGTATCATAACTTCTCATTTGCTTACATAATTTTTTTAAACTTTATTAAGGAAGCTATGCACAATTAACTTATTTTGTCAATACCAATAAACTTTTTCAAAAATTTATCTTAGATTGTAACTAAATAATTAAAACAAAAAGGCAAATTGATATTGGTGATACTAGCCCTGCGCTACTTATCCAATTAATGGTACTTTTACTCGATAACTTTTGTACTCTTTCCAGCTCTGAATAAACAAACTGCAGCTGTTGTTTGTTTCCATTCAGCAATTTTTATTCATCAAAACAAACATTTGCTTCACTGACATCAGGCCCTCATCACAGTGTTTCATTCACAGCTGGGTTTCTGCTGCCGGTCGCTCTGAATCGCCACAGGAAGTAAAACCGCAGCAGATACAGTGTTCAGCTCGCAGTCAGAGAGCGATCAGCCCCCGAACTCACCGTCCAGATCAACCCACGGACCGGCCAATCCCAGCGGGCACCCAGCGGGAAACTGTTTGGCTGTGAACCCCCCTCACATGATCAACCTCTAGAAAATCCTGATTTTTACATCTTTTAACAAGAAAACAACATATTCTAAACACAAAAACAGTGAAATTAAATCATTTTTAGACATTTGCTCCATGATTTCTATATAAGCCTGAAGACTGGGGAAGACCTGTGGGACTTCAAAATACTTAAATTCTACAAAAAACCTGTTAGAAAACGTCAGAAACTATTGTCCCTCAGAGTTTAAGCACAAGCAAAGAGTCAGAGAGGAAACGCTTTGTAAAAAAAAAAAAACATTAAATCCAGTTCAGCTGCACAGGGATAACCAATGAAACGTCAGCCAGCTCAGTCTAATTTCATCCTGCAGGTCACATACTGACTACCGAGAGCAACTTCACAGAACTCTGCTGAAAATGACTCCTTAAGGTACAGATGTTAAACTCCAGTCCTGCAGGGCCGCTGGCTGGCCTGCCACTTTCAGATGAGCCTCTGCTGCAGCACCTGGACAGAATAACGAGCTCGTTAAGGCTCTGCAGATCTGATGGTCAGGAAGCCGTTTCATTCCAGGGTTTTGTACCTGTGGCTCATCTAAAATCTGCAGGACAGCAAGATTTTCTCCAGGAGTGGAGTTTGACACTCCTGCTTTAAGGAAACGATTACAGAGCTGAACTTTATCATTTCTGAGATTATCAGGATTTTTCGCATTTGGTTCCATTTTTATTACAAGCTGTGCAGTGATTGGATGAAACAGAGGTTATGTGTGACGTCATGATGAAGTTAACAGGAAGCTCAGGGGCAACAATGGAGGAGCACCACCTCCGTTCTGGTAGTTGGCAGGACAGGACACCTGAGGTTCTGACATTTAAATACATCAAAACTTGAAATATATAACTTATTAAATATAGAACTATATGTGCCTCAATTATATGAGGGTGATTTAATTTCACAAACTAGATTTCATGATTTAATAATTTTATGTTCCTGTGCTGAAGCACATCAATAAACAGTCAAACGAAGTGGGCGGGATTAAGGCAAACTGACATCTGATTGGCTCCTTCAAACAGCAAGTCATCTTCTGCCCAGTTAACTGCAACTCTGAGGTCGATATTTTGGAATTGACATAAATTAATATTTATTTACTACAAACCCAGGAGGAGAAACTGCAGCCTCTACTTCTGTAGTTTGAAATATTGCTGATGAAGTCAGCAGCGCTCACTGTGGTCAGGCAGCATCACTGCTAGCCCCGCCTGCTAGCTAACGGCGGCTAACAGTCTGTGAACAACGGACTAACAATATCGCTGGCCGGGAGTTGCTCACCCACAGTTTGTAATAAGTAAATAATTTAATTGCTACTAAAATCATCTCCACAATTAAAGTGAAAATTTTGAGCTGAGAGTCGGAGCTAGCTGGGAAGTTGTGTTTACTTAGCTGTTTGCAGCAGCCAATCAGACGTCAGCTTCCATAATCCCGCCCACTGAGTGACGGGTAAAATTATAAAATACGTTTAACTGAGACACATGTAATTCAATATTTAATCTTTGCTGCATTTATTTCAATTTTTAAAAAATTATTGATATATTAATGACATTTTATCATGATTATTTCAGCAGTTATTAATTTAAAGTATTATAGAAAGGGGGCGGAGCCTCCGTGGCGCTGAGCTGGAGGAGGCAGGTGAGCCAAACATCCAGGTTTTCCTGTCTGACCCAACGACAGCAGACAGTGTTTCAGGAAGAAGCTAACAGACAGCCAGCTCTAGCACTGACAGGACAACAGACATGGAGAAAAATCGGAGTGTTCACAGTTTAAGCCTCCTCCAGCCGCTAAGCTCTGGCTTTATTAGGCTGCTTAACTGCAACTCTGAGGTCGATAATTTGGAATTGACAAATAAATTAACATTTATTTGTCAATCACTAGCAGGCTAACACTGAAGCACTACGGCTAGCGGTTAGTAGTTGGTTATCTGTGGGCCGGTTGGTCAGCCGCCCGTCCAGTCCAGTGGGGCGACCGTCTTCCTGTCAACAGGCTGCTGATTGGAGGAGCAGACAGAACGTCGCCCCCTGCAGGTTGGAATGATGCAGGAAGTTTTAGTGAATCTCAGTTAAGCTCTAAAACAAAACGTCCAAAACCGGATCGAGCTGGAATCGTCATCAAATTTCTGTCGGCTTCAATGCTTTTACCGGATCCGTTCAGGCTTCGTGGCCTCAGGAAAGAGGAAGATGAGGAGGAAGACGAGGGGAGGGGAAGGAGGTCAGGAGGTCAGAGTTGAGATCTATCAGTCCTTTCTGAGCCTCCTGCTCCTGGGAGATCTTCGCAGAATATCGTCTTCTCTCTGTGGATCAGAACAAAATCACCATTTAAATTATTTTACTATATTTTAAAGACAAATTTTACCCCAAATTGCTGAAACTTTTCCAAAACATTCTCCCACAGAGAGACACTTCCTGACAAAGTATTTTTTAATCTCAGAACCAGAACCCAGGAGAAAAACTGTCAGCCGGGTCTCCATCAAAGGTTTTGCTTCAGGCACATTTTTAATTATTCAGTTGGAAAACGTTGATAAACAGCAACAATTTAAAAAACAAACCTAAACTTTGTAAAAAAAAAAAAAAAAAAAAAAGTTTTTGCACTGGCTAAGGCAGTCTTCGTTTTTCTGAAAACCGTTAATGCTGAACCAGACGCTGCCATCTACTGGTGGCTCTGAGCCTTACCACTTCCTGTTTATTCCAGCCTCACGTTGGCACCGATCTGAGTTTCCTGCTGGATTCATTCCAAACCAGCAGTCAGAAGCATCTTCCACTTTAAAGCCTGACGCTAAACTGGACCTCAACTCAGCTAATCTGCCCAGCAACAGCTCCAAGTTGATGGTTACACTGTAATTAGTGATGCTGCGGGCCAGATCCACCTCCATCAGGCCAGCTGTTAAACCAGAAAGTTTCAGGCTGAATGCAGCAGTTCCTCCTGGTTTTATCACAGCAGAACCACCGGAACCCAGTCAACATAAAGCAGTTCTTCCTCACCTCTTCTGTCGTGGCCTCTTTCTCTCCCTCCTCTTCCTCAGCAGCAGCTTCTTCTTCATCACTCTTGTCCTCTGCAGCTGGAGGAAAATAAACCTAATGGTTACAGAACTGAACTGGGGGATGCACAGAACCAGGTCAGTGAGAGAGCTAACCCACCTGGACTGCTCTTCGCCTCCTCAGCCTTATCCTCTTCCTCCTCTTCCTCTTCTTCCTCCTTCACGTCAGGCTGAGGTTCGTCTGTCTTCTTGTATTCAGCTGCTGGAGTCTTCTTTTCCTGCAGAAAAACAGATTCATGAACTTTTCATCAGAAAAGCTGTCTATAAGCTGATCTTCATCAGCACTACAGCTACGCCACAACAAGCTAGGCTAGGAGGAAGAGGAGGAGTCACCGGCTGGAGGCGTCCGGCTCCCTTTAGCTCCTCCTGTAAGCTGGTGAGACTCAGCGAGTCCTGAGCCGACCCGGAGGAGCTCTGTGGACACCCACCATCATCATCATCATCACAGATCAGAATGTCTCTACAGACAGTGTGACGTCACAAAAAAAGCTGCTAGCTAACAATGGCTAGCTTTGGTTTCAGCTGTCAACATGATGCTCTAAATCTTAAATGTGCATCTGATATAAAAAGAAAAAGAGTGCTTTGCTAGTAATTGTCAACATTATGAAAAACAATAAGGGAGAGGGCAGTAGGTCAGCTATGCTAGCTTGACTGTGACAACCTTAACATGCAGATCTGTTGCAGAATTGAGTGTTTTAGTTCAGTTAAAAAATAAAAGCAAATAAAAAGATAAGGCAACCTAAACAACAACTCTGACAGATCATCAGGAGAGCAGGTGTTAGATTAGCCAATCAACCACCAATGTGTCCTATATTAGCCATTAGCAGTGGTAGCTAATAGCAGCGGTAGCTAACATACCACAGCAATCACTTATTAATAAACATCAAACCTGTAAACATAAAAGTGTAATCTACTGAATGTTCTGCTCTTTGTGTGGAAATGTTTGAGTGTTTTTGTTGCTGAAATCTGAAATATTAGTGGTGATGTTAGTCGGTTGCCATGGCAACGAGTTTGCATGTAGCGTAGCCGACACACCGCGAAGAAAAAAGAATCCAGCAGTTTGAAATTATGTTTCAATGCTTCTTCTGCGTTATTTTTCCCTTTCCGTGACGCTCCGCACTGGATTAATAGTCTCTTCGTCTCCAGGTTTCATTTTGTTCGCAGTTCTACGGGCAGCGCCACTACGGATGGAAACACAGTAGAGACTATTTGCCCTCCTGCTTGGGCACAAAACTTTCTGATGTAAAGAACAACATGCAACGTGTCAGTAGTGATGCACAATGAGTCTATTAGCTCCAATTTCAGGAAAACATTTTAAACAAAAACAGTAAATATATAAACTGAAGGTGTGCTACAGCAGTGCTTCGTAATCATCATCATCATCATCACAGAGCTGCAGGATACAGCCTGCTAGAAGATGATTGTTAGAATAACTGCCTGAAGCTTTTGAGAAATCCTCCCATCTTTCCATCCTTCAGAGAAGTGAAGGATCACACAGGAGTGTGTGTGTGTGTGTGTGTGTGTGTGTGTGTGTGTGTGTGTGTGTGTGTGTGTGTGTGTGTGTGTGTGTGTGTGTGTGTGTGAGAGAGAGAGAGACAGAGTGTGGTACCTTGCCCGTGCAGCAGAAGACGATGATGAGGACGAGAGGAAGAGCCACAGTGAGGACATAGACGATCCAGAGCCAGGGTCGCTCCTCTGCAGCAGTTAGCATCTGGGTTGCCAGACCCGGCTGAGAACCAAACATGGATCCACTTAATTCACACACATTCCTGTCTTTATGCCTCAGCAGAGCCCAGTCCCAAGGACCCTGAACTTTCTGCATTTATCACCAAAACCCCATGAAGCAGTTAATTCAAATTTCCAGAAATTCTGCAGGACTTTATGTGGCCAACAGGAGAGAAGTGGAGAATGCCAACATGTGTTTTAGAATGGCCTAGTCAAAGTCAGAGCTGAATACACCTGAGAATCTGACATGGAAACTGATCCACTGCAGATCTGCAGTCAGAGTCGGTTCTACTGAGAACTGCTGGATATAAAAACACGCCACACTTTTCAGATTTTTAAAATCTGTAAACAGCTTGAAAGCCATAAATAATTTTCTCTCCACTTCAAAGTTGTGTCGCTCCATCACATAAATCGCAATAAAACACGTGAAGTGTGTGGATGGCTTATAAAGTTTTAAGGGTGTGTATAATTTCACAACTTTGCTGCAGGTCAGGTGTTTACTGGAATCAAAACGATTCAGCATCAGGTCGTTTCCTTTGATCTAAAGTTGAAAAACAAACCAAAGAGTTTCTGCAGAACTAAGGCCAGCTTCATTCAGAGTTGAAAATAAAAGGATGGAGAAAAAGGAACTAAAGATTCTCGGCATGAACAAATGAATCAGTCAGTCAGTGAATGAGTTGATCTGAACAACGAGAGAAGAAATCATCCGCAGACATTTTGATTAAGATTTGTTCTTCATGGACTCACCTCAGCAGCGCCCTCTGCTGCCTTCTTCAGCCCCCAGCTGTCGGCGGCCCAGCGCTCGGCTGTGTTGCGGTCGTTGGTGATGAAGAAGTTGTCGAAGAAGATGTCAGAGGTCATGGACCAAAGCTCGAGCCCCAGAGCACTGAACGGCGTCATCTTGAACGGCTCCAGGTCCTCAAAGTAATCTGGGTTGGGAATCTTTCTCGGCTTCCAGATCCCCTGACAGAGCAGCAGATTAAATATTTCAAACAAATATCCCACATCCGGATACAAGAACCTGAACTTAGCACAGACGTTTTGAGTAACTAGCTTGGTTGAAAAACTACCGTTCACCATTAATGAAAGCCAAGATGGCCGCCATGTTCAACAAGGAAAATTTATTTTTGCAATAAAATTGCCAATATTTGTCACAAATTAAGACTTTGGTGTTAAATGAGACACAATTGAATCAGAAAATATCTGATTTGTGGCTATTTTTCTTTATTTTTTTAAGATGGCCAGCATGGAAATGTAATTTAAAATCACCAATAAAATAAATGTGTTTGGTGTCAGATCATAGCCTACATATGTTGAACCGTAAAAGTATTTTCTTAATGGCCACCACTGACAATTTAGCATTGGCAGAAACTAACGTTAAACTGCTAAATACGTAAAACATTAGCAAAAGCTAATGCTTAACTAGTAAATACATAAGATCCAGCGCTGACCTTTGTGCCACATCCAGTTGGGGACTGGTGTGAGAATCGCTAACAGCAACGTTCTCAGTTTCTGGTTTTGGTAAATATTATTACTTTATGACTACGATACCCAAATCCAAAAACATATGGTGTGAAATAAAGATCCTCCAAGTCATGAAAATGGGAAGCATTTTATGGTGTTAACTGGTTTAAAAGGCTCAAACACAGAAGCCATCTTGAAAAACGCTGATATCCATAGTTGATACATTTTCACGATAATATGGTGCACTAAAAAAACAGAAACACCATCACAACACCTTACAGGAACCGGACTGAGCCCGTCTCAGAGTATCAGAACCCACCTGGTAGTTGGGGTTGTCCACCATGGGGGGCTTCCACTTGCCCTTGTAACTGGGGTTGTCAATCATCGGCCGCTTCCAGGGGCCGCAGCCGGGGGCGCTCTCGCAGGCGGGGTTGGGGACCTGAGGTGCCTCCCATTCTCCATCCATGTCCTCATCCCTGCAGGAAACGGATCTGTTACGGCTGCCAAACAGGGAGGAAGTCAGTGGTTGAGGTTGCCCTGGTGACTCACCAGTCGTCAGGTTTGATGGCATCAGGGTCTCCGATGTACTCGGCCTCATCGTCCAACCAGCCGTCCGGTTTCACGGCGTCTTCATCGGGAATCTGAGCAGGAGCGTCCTCGTCCCTAAGAAGAAACGTCATAAGCGACGGCTAACGAAGCTAACAGGCTTCATTACGTTGTTCAAGTATGCTGGTTCACATAGGTAGCTTAGCTGATGCTAACAGCCTTATTCCTTCCTGTGGAACTTCGCTTAGATCAACTCTCTTCTGCGTACATTTTTTTTCTCCAGGACTCTTGGTATGCAAAATAAATCTTACTTCCTGATATGTCTCAGAGATCTGAACTTGGATCTTAGCTTTTCTTCCCCCTGGAATAAGTTTCCATACCAAAAAATCTCTTATGCTGATGATACTGTGTTGCACATTAATAATTTCACGATGAACAATGAAGATTGACTATGTATTTTGTCAAGACCCATGTAGCGTCCAAACACAGAAACAAAGATTAAAACTAAATTATGAGCTTAAAGGACTAACTAGATCTGCTTTATGTAATCAATTTTAGCTAATGTAACTGCACACATGGTAATTGAACACAGAAGAAGAAAAGGTGAAGCAACAGCAGATTCTGACCAGTCTTCGGGTTTCACGGCATCAGGGTCCTGGATCTTTGGCCTCTCGTCCCAGTCCTCCGGTTTGTGGTCGTCAGGGTCCTCAATCTCAGCAGGGGGGTTTACAGGGGGTGTCATGTCCTTCAGCAGGTTGCCGCTGTTCACCACGGTCTGATCCACCAGAACTTCAAAGCTGTTGTCAGCGTTCACCACTGGGGGCGTCAGAGCACAGTCACACTCTCAGAACTGTGTGTGTGTGTGTGTGTGTGTGTGTGTGTACTTGTTTGGCTAGCGCGTGAGGACTCACTCTTAACCTCCAACATTGTGAGGACATTTTGCCATGTACACACACATGAATATTTAACGAAATCAAGATTAAGAATTTGTGAAAATATTTAATTTCATAAATTCTGAATTAAATTTAAGACCTGTATCATGACAGAACTGCACAAAAAAAAATCTATATTATTTTTATTTCAGATGGATACACGTCTTAAATGCAATATTCTTGTGTACAGATCTGTCTTTGTGCATACTGTAAATTCTGGACTGCACAACACACCCGATTAAAAACTGCATGCTCTAATTTTGGAAAGCAAATAAGTTTTGTTCTTGTGTAGGCCGCACCGGATTGGAAGCTGCAGGTGTCCCATGTAGTAAAGTGCAATACTTAGAAAGATATTACTTATGAGGGATTTTGAAATTGTGTTTTTGATTGATGAAAGTGCTCTTAATTTACTGTACAATTTCAATGGACCTCTGAACTACTTGATTTTCTGTTACGAGGCAAAATGTTTTTACTGACAAAAAAACAAAACACGCATTAGCTGCACCTTAGTACAGGCAGCAGGATTCGAAGCGTGGGAAAAATGTTGTGGCTTATAGTCCGGAATTTACGGTAGACATTCCTTGTCTGTGTCCATTTTATTTTTTATGTATTTTGTGTATTTGTGGGCGTTAATCTGCATCCTCTGAATTAAAAGGCATACAGATTCTTGTATGCAAGGTACAGATATAAGAATCTGTATGATCTTAAAATAGATTATAAAGACACACAGCCTTTAATCTATATAAAAGAAAATACACATTATTGTCTATATTATCAAGAATATAAAGTTTTACATTTAAGAGTTTAAAACTTTTTAAGGACTGTCAAAGCAAGTCCATACAAGTCCAGTGAGAGTGTGTGTGGGTGTATAAGGTGGCGTACCCAGGGTGTACAGGTGCGTCTTCTTGTCGGTGAAGTAGGACCGTAGGTCGGCGTCGGGTTTCTTGGCGTGCTTCTCCTCGTAATGCCCGGTTTTGGGGTTTTTGTGCCTGAAGATGAAGTGCAGCTTGTAATCTTCTCCACACTTATCGGGTCCAAACATGATGGTGTACGCTGTCTTGTCCACAAATTGGTCCTGCAGGGACAGATATCTCAGTGAGATTGAAACCCCATTAGGACCGGCGCCGTCGCCATCTCTTCAGCAGTGAACCCGATACTGACCAGGTCCAGGCCGGGCGTCTCACTCAGCAGCTTCAAGTAGGCGCCGCCGCAATCAATCCCGGACTGGAAGTTCACCTCGTACCTGGACACAAACACCTGTCAGCGGGTTCTGGCAGGACAGAGCAAAGATTCTGGTTCTGATTGGGTCTTACTGGATGACAAGGGGCATGGAATCGAAGGTAAAAGGTCGCAGCAATGGTGCGGAAATGGCGTGATGTTTGGCTCTGGACTTCAGGACCAAACCTTTATCGCCGGGCAGCTTGGTGTCCTTCATTTCTTCTACGGCCCATTTACCTGTCCAAACAACATCATCATTATCATCCTCATTAGCCAATCAGAGGACAACATCTCATCCGGTACAGACGGTCCGATCCCAATCCAGAAACAAACAGACATACCATCGTACTTCGCGATCTCTTCATCTGCGTCATCCTTCTTTGCCTTTGACAGAACCAGCTGGAACCAAAAACAAACCGGGTCAAGAGAGCTTCCGGGTTCGGATCAGAACCAACCAGGTCAATAAGAAATACAGAGTCCAGATCAAAACCAGTCGCTTCTCTTGACCCAACAGCCAGAATGGTAAATGTACTGAGCTTATGTAGCGCTTTCCCAATCATTTTGACCACTCAAAGCGCTTTACACCAGAGTCACATTCACACATTCACCCTCACACATTCACCCTCACACATTCACCCTCACACATTCACCCTCACACAGATCGGTAGGCAATTTGAGGTTAAGTGTCTTGCCCAGGGTCAGGCCAACATGTGACTGGAGGAATTGAACCCACAACCGTTCAATCATAAGATGACTACTCTACCCACAGAAACCTCTTCGTCTGTATCGGCTCTTGCGGTCCGGTTCAACCAACTGAATCGGAACAGAACCAGGTCAGGTGTGTGCGCTCACCCGTCCAGGGTCCCCCGGTCAAACGACTCGGCGAAGAAATGTTCCCCCATCGGTTCTGGAGCCTTGTAGGTCACCTGAACAAAGAGGAACCGCACGTCCATTAGGTTCTGTCTGGCCGGACCTCAAGGGTCCAAGCAGTCGGTAACCACAGCAACGGCACCCAGCAGTTCACCTTTGGCGCAGTGGGGGCTTTTGGTGCGGGCGGGGCTTCTTCGTCCCCATCCAGCTCGTCGTCGTCCTCGGTTCCGGCCAGGTCCAGGTCCAGGTCGTCCTCCACGTCTGCGTCTTCGTCCTGGTTCTGGGCCCGGCAGGCGGGCGCCAGGCCGAGGCAGACCAGGCCCACCGCCAGCAGAACGAACAGCAGCGCCTTCTGATGCATGGTCTGCAGACAAGCACAGCATGATGCAGCGCTCCGTCACCATGGAGACCAGCCCACCCCAGAGGACGGGCCGCACTAATGAGATTTCACCCGGTGGGATTACTGCGCACATACACATCTGTGTTTACAGTCAGTAAGTGAGAAAGCTAAGCCCCGCCCACTGAGGAACAACCAATTCGAAAGTGGGCGGAGTCAGAAGGCGTGGCCAGGAGTAATCAGCAGTCCATCCTGTTTTAACATCAGTTTCAGAAACGTTTTCATGATGAATTTTTATTTTTTTATTAATTGTTTTTAATTAACATCAGTTTCACATTATTTCAGTAACAAAAGCAGATTGTTTTTCACAATAATGGTGAGGTAAACATTTAGCCCTCCTTCCTTGGAAACACCTGGATAATTTCTTCTGTTAGCTACCAAACCCATGTGATTTGACAATCAGCTAGCTTGCTGTTGCTATAGTTTCAACAGTGAGCCGGAGAAGCTGAACAAACAAAGTAGGATGCCACAAAAATAACCAAGAAATATTTAAACTACATACTAAAGAGAAATGTATTTAATCAGGTTTAACAGCAGCATGGAGGCTGCTGTTAAGATATCTATAAAAAGAAAACAAAACAAAAATTACTTACAGAAAATACATAAAAATACTATGCAACAAACTATTAAAGTATATTACGCAAAATGTACGAAAACTCTTCTGCCAACTTAGCCACTTTTCTAAAAGAAAAAAATTTTTAAAGGAAATTTAGTGACTTAAATGGCGACAGCATCCATTGCTCTGCAGTTCTGTCATGAGAAAAGCGCTTGCTATTCTTCTGTTTCCCCACCAGGGGCGCCCTTTTATCAGCTGAAGGATTTAACTGTTCGGCCTACATAGGGCACCACTGAGGTGGTTTGAGGTCAAATAAAGCAGAATTAAACAAATTTACAGGAAAATGTAAAAAATCTGTCACAGAAAATGGATGAACAGGATGACTTGCAGTCAGATTACCATAGAGTTTCACTTTGACTTCATCAGATGGTTTTAATAACTGCTGCTACAGAAATGGTTCAGAACCGGCTCTAACCCAGAACAAGAACCACTCCAGGTTCTGGTTCCTGACCAGAGACGGGTCAGAGCAGCAGCTCGTTGCAGAGCATGGCTTCCCTCCTGGAAGGATGTTACCAGAGCGACCTGCTCTGTTCAGGCGGCGGAGAAGCCAAACCGCCTCAGCTTCCCGTTGCCTAACGAGATTCCAGCCACCGGCTCTGATTGGCCGGTAAATCCGACGCCTAATCCCAATCCAGAGCGCCCGGGAGGCAGGACTTCTCCACTAATCTGATGCTAGAGTCCGAAGGACCTGCTCCAAACTGGGTTCTAACTGGTTTCTGACTGGTGCCAATTGGCCCCAACTGGTCCCGATTGGTTCTAATTGGGTTCTGACAGGGTCTAATTAATTGTAACTGGTTCTGTCTGGGTTTTACTGGTTCTAACTGGTCCTGGGACGTTCATCGCTGCTGACTGTCGGCAGTGCTGAACTCATCCAGAGCTCAAACGGCCGAGGCTAACGCGTCACCCAGCAGGTCCGACTGGTTCCCACAGGTTCTGACTGGTTTCTGTTTGAACAGAAACTGAGCGGCTCCCTGCAGCCGGCATGGAGGAGAAATCCAGAAAAATGGCTTTTCGTGTCCAATAAACGTTTCCGTTTAATTCATCACACCTTCCTTCAAAATAAAAGCACAGCAAACTCAATCAGGATGAACTGATTCATCATCAACCTAGTCTGGTCCAGAAGAACCATCAGAACCTCAGGTTTTACTCTCATTTATGGGTAAAAATATAACTAAACGTCTGATTTAATATCAATATTTTGGTTCTGCTCAGTTTAAAATGAAATTATGTTCATATCAGCACCTCTGTTCTGCTGCAGCGAGACGTCCGAACACCAGCATACTGGTTCTGGACCAGCAGCCGATACCACAATCATCAGATCTGGCTGAATCAGCAGTGTCCAAAGTGTGGCGCGGGGGCTGTTTGCAGCCCTTGGAATAATTTTATGTGGCCCTGACTGCAAATGAAGGATGGCATAAAATTGATGAACGTTTTAAATGTTTCTGGAAGGAGATCTTCTGAAATGGAAAATGTTTGGAATAATAAAGTATTTTTTTCTAATCAGCCATGTTTGATTTTAATATCACTGAAGATTTTCCATCAGACTTTTGCACCCAGTTATTAGATATAAGTAAAGACAGAGAGGATTTTACAAGAATGTTGTCATTTAAAAACATTGTCTAAAACAAAAAAAAACATTCGGCCAAAATAAACCCAAAACCTTTTATTAAAGAAAACACCTGGTCTGTTTTCTGCAATAATTTTGTTTGTGTGTTTTCTTAAAACTTTGCATTTTTTAAAGATTTTTGTTTATTTTGGGATAATGAGCAAAAAGTTGGTCTGAATATTTCTCATTTACAGTTTAGAGATTAAACATCAACCTGACAAAGTTTTCCATTCACTGCTCAGATTATCTTTCTAAGGACGGACCCAAAAACCCAGAACCAAAGAGCAGGAAAATGAGCTGGACCAGAACCAGAAAGAGGAACAAATGGACCAGGATTTAAACTTTATGTTGAATCAAAATGAGAAAATATTTCAATTCTGCCCAGTTTGCCCAGAACCAATCAGAAATCTTTTGGTCTCTGATTGGTCAGAAACCAGGAAGTCTTCCAGCAGTGGGAGACTGAAACATTCTGGAGGAAACACTGGCAAAATTCTCAAAGTTAGACTGGGAAAACTGGGAGACGGATGAGAACTGGGTTGGGAAGTCCAGATGATGGCTCTGCTGGATGTTCTGGAGATATGGAGGTCCAGACAAAACCAGGTTTATTTACTACTCAAACTTATACACAGGATCAATATAATAATAAAGTTTCATGCAAATGTCTGAAATACTGCAGAAATTACTGTAAATTTTAAGACAAATATTTGGTTTTGGGGTCCAATTTTTTCTTTTTTTATTTATTTATTGTGACAATAAAGCCTAATTTTAAAATAGGTTAGATTCATGATTTTGGGCAAATTTAATTGACTTATTTTTCAAATTTGGCTTAGTTTTGCAGTTTAAGTTCCATTTTCAGTTGTAAGTTAATTACTTCATTTATTTTGACCACAAAATGCTTAATAAATGCTATTTGTTCAGCAGTTTGCAGAAACATCCTCACCTGTCATTTAAATGAAGCCTCATTATGGGCCATAAAGTTTTACAGTGTAAACGGAGGAATATAAACAAGCTGCCTTCGTTTTTAACTTATTCTAATGATATTTCACACCAGTTCTGGTTTTCAGCTCATTTATGTGAATATTAATGAGCAGAAAACAAAAGTTTATTACAGAAACTTAAATTCTATGTGGCCTCCATCCGCCTCTAGCTTTTGATTTTAATTTAATCTTTAAAGTTAAGATTAAGTCTCCTGGGTGTGTCAGCCTGTATTTAAACACCAGCCCGGCTCACAAAGCTGCTGTTTAGTCAGATGAACCCGTTTCTGGATCATTCTGTTGCGGTAAAAAGCCTCCAGCGTTCCGAGCTAGCAGGCGGTCCGGGTTCACCTGCGGCTAATTAGCCCGAGCTAGCCGCTCCGCTCCGACCTCTCCCGCTCCATTTTACCCCCCAGAACCCGCAGACAGGCCCCTTTCTCCAGCCTCACATCCACAATCAACCCGCTCCTGTCCGGAAAAAGTCGCATTTTTCTGAGTTTTCCAGTAAAACAGCTAATTTGTCGCTTTCTTTACTCACCTCAAGCTCCGTGATGTGACCGCCTGGGAACTAGTGAGGAGGGTCACGTGTGAGAATCACAGGGAAATCGCCGCCTTCGCTGGACACTGATTGGCCAGCCGGATCCAGGGTCAGGCGTTTTCTGTCAAATGGCAGCCGCTCATTGGTTGCAGGAAAATCTCTGTCGGACAGCGCGTCTTAGAGCTGAACCTCGTGGACGGCGCTGATTGGCGCAGCTGTCACAGGAAATGCGCGATGATTGGTTGTAGTAAGTCTTTCGAAACCTGAGAAATGGTTTGGACTGAGACTAAAACTGATTTTTATGGTAAAATATGATGAATCGAAAATCAATATTCAGGTTGTTTTTAGCAACAGGAAGCCTTTATTACCGCCAAGAGGTCCAGGTCATAAAGGGCGGCTGACAGAACTTACTGCATATTTTGGAAAATAAAATAGGTATATTTTCATATTAAAACCTAAAAATCACAAACATTTTTAAAGCCAAGTGGAAATTTGTTTTTTGTATTTTAATGTGAAAATAGGAGATTGAAGTAGAAGCATTTTTTCATTTGTTGTGGTTGATAACTGTTGAAGAAAATTTTAAATTTAGTTTTTCATATTTCAAATATTAAAAAACGCTTTTGAAACTCTGTTTCAAAAGCGAAAATTACCTTTTTTCAGATTACCATAATTTAATTAAATTTTGTTTACTGACTGACACCAAATGGGAATTAATAACGCTGTCAAGACACTTTACAAAAAGTCATTTCAATCCCATCGCCCATCTATTGCAATTAATCCTATTTATTAATCATTTCTGCACATATTTAAACTCCCTTTACAGCAACATTACTGTCTCAACATAAGCCAGTAACCCCTGACTGGAGAATCATCAAATATTAGAAAGTATGACTAAATATGCACAGAAACTATTCAGAAAATGACCCTCCTCTCTCTCCGTAGTAAAATCCCTTCAGTTCTCACATTGTCATTATTTGGATAATTCCAGGCATTTTATACTGAAATGATTTTTAAATGTTTTGGAGCTATATATTTGAAGTTATAAATGTTCACTAAAAAATAAAAATAAAAAACAATTTTTGAATGTTTTAAATGCCAAAAGAAAATTAAGCCAATAAAAATTTATCCTATTTGTAAATTCAGTTGACAGAATATTTAGACCTCAATATTTGGAACATGTGACATTATTATAACTGCTTTTATGATCTTCCTGAATTTAATTAATAACTATGTGATAAAAAAAAAACAAGCATAATTACAAGTAGTTTGAGTGAAGAAACAGAAACTCTGAGATAAAAATTAAAATAGCACATCTTTGGATCAGAACTGTTTGGTTACACAAATGGACAAATAAAATAAAACAAAATAAATCTTTAAAAATTTAAAGAAGGAGCTTATTTTGTTAGTCATTAACAATCTGGATTTATACTTTTGTTAAATTAAACTTGAGTTTGGAGCAGAACAGGAGCAGCTCAGACAGAAATTAATTATTTTTATTTAACAACCTGCATGGCTGCAACTATTATTTTATTCTAAGAGGTCATGATAAAGTTATATCATTCTGAGGTCATATTATTATCTGGTTCATTCTGGAGTAAACCAGAATAAACATTCGGTTCATTCCTTCTGTTTGTCAGATTAAAGCTGCGTTTCATTTGTTTTGGGTTTTCGGTGTTTTATTCCAGATTTTCCTGATCCTGTAAGTCACAGGGTCAAACTCCAGGGTCAAACTCCAGTCCTCAGGGGCCACTGGCTGGCCTGTGACCTTAGATGAGCCTTTAGATGAGCCTCTTCTGCAGCAGCTGGACAGAATAATGAGCCATTAAGACTCTGAGGATCTGAGCTTCACTGGAGGAAATGAAGCCGATTCATTCCAGCGTTTTGATCCTGAGGCTCATAAAACCTGCAGGACTGGAGTTTTACTCTCCTGCTGAGTGGAGCTGCAACCGCTGTCATTTGACCTGTGACCCCTATCATGTGACCCACGTCATGTCTCATCATGACGTAAATCCAGATGTAACTTTAACATCTGACCGCATGGGGTCGCTGTTGTCTCAGTGTAATGTAGTGTAACCTCTATTTCATATATAGAATATTTATAAATGTCTAAATGTCAAGTTTGACTGTAATGTAACGTAAACCAGCTGATTATTGCATTAGTAACAGTCGAACTTTAAATCTTCATTCAGCAAAGCTTTGCAAATACAAACTTTTACAAGTTTTTCAGAAGAAGTGCAAAACTTTTATAACATAAATTCCCGTCATGATATGAGCTGTGCATGTAAATAAAAATAACAGCAGTCATTTGGGTTATTATTTTTGTTTTATTTTTGCCTGACTGTGATTTAATGATATTAGCTTAACTGGCATTAGGATTCTGTCACTGAAGGCTAAATTAATGCTTTATGTCAAAATGAGCCAAAATGCTATTAGCTTAACTGCTGCCAGGGTGCTTTCCTACATCTTTGCAGTCTGATGATGCTCATGTCAGCAGAGTTTTGAGCAGAAACTGATCACCTATCAGCGGCCATTTTGGATTTGTTGAAGGCCGACGTAAAAAAGACAAAGAGGCTGAAATGATTTCATTTTCTCTCTTTATTACAATCCACAGATTGGATAGAAGTTTAAGCTCATTTAAATAGTTTATCTAAAGGGTACAAAAGACACAGACAAGATGACAGCAATGCAATCCAGTGCATCCAAGAGGAAACGAAATAAAACTCAAGTTATGTTCAGTGAGTCTAGACAGAGAGACCAGAGCTCCGTCTGAGCGGAGGAAAAGTTCAGATAAATTGTTCCCTGAGGTCATTTTCCTGCTTTTCTTTACCGAAACGATCCAACGGATCCGATGAGAAAAATCACCAAACTGACTGGATCTCCTTTCTTGTTTCACCAAACCAGCTTGTTTTTAGCTTTTCTGAAAAACCTGACTGAAAACTTTGTTACTCAGGAGCTCAAACTAGAAAAATGACTGAAAATCTTTAACTAACCCATTTCTGCAGCAGCGTCTGTGTAACCCGTCCGATCCGACGCGGTGAGTCTGAAGGGTTTGATCGTAAAAAGCTTCAAAATGTCACAGCAGGAAGTTTTGACCAGCAGATTTAACGTTTCAGCAAAATGTTTCACATGCGGATACAAGAACCAAACATGGCAGAAATGTTCCCCCAAAAAAAGTGTTAGTCTCTGAAACACTCCAGATGGCCTTGATGGTCGTCAAGGGAAATATATCGTGGCTCTAAGTTTGCCAAAATGTAATGATTTTGGTGTCATCATACATAATCCATATAAATCATAATTACAGGGAAGTCTTTGATTTTTCAAGATGGCCGCCATTGTCATGGAAAATAAAATTTTAGTTTTGCACAAAAATTTCCAATTAGGTGAATCTGTTTGGTGTCTAATTAAAGCCTAAATATTTTCACCCATACAAATTGTTTATATTTTCTTGATCTTGTGTTTCCTTATTCTGGTGGACATTTTTCAAAATGGCCTCCATAATTTTAATGGAGAATATATGTTTGCACTAAAGTTGGCAGGAATTATTAGCCTCCGCTAACCAGTTAAGCTATGTATGGTTCATCAGCCACTAACTAAAGAAGAATCTTAGCTATGCTAATGCTAAACTGCTCAATTCATTTAAAAAATTTGTGAAGGTAATGCTAACGTTTAGCAGCTAACTGTTACGTGGTCAGTCTCTCATGAACACCAAAATCCTCAGTTCCTGATTTTGCAGCTTTTTATCATTTTGAAGTTTCATGGAGACACAAAGTTCCTCCAACTCACGGAAATGAGGAACATTTTATGGCAAATATTAGTCTAAAAAAAGAGACAATCATCTTGAAAGATGGTCGTCATGCACGTAAGACACTGGGCCGGATGGGAGCATGTTGATGCTTGCATCCACAGCTGAAACATTTCGGACGTCCTGCTGTGATGGAGCACGGCTGCAGATCCGGTGTGACGTGGCGTAGAAAAACTTCTTGGCATTTTTTATCAGAAGAAAAAATCTGCTGTTCCTCCACATCTAATATCCAAACTAAAGGGAGTAAAATATGGTCGAGAAGAGCGACCTGCGTTTCAGGACTATTTACATCAGAAGGCACCTACAGCTGATGTGAAGGAACAACAGAACGGGAACCATTTATCTAAACTTCCTCTGCTCCGAGCCCGCAGGCCAGTCCCTCTCTGGAAGACAGCGTCTGGATGGAAAACAGCGCAGTAAACAGGGGGCGCTGTGGCGAGAAGGCCTCAGGTCCAACTCCAAACGCCTTCAGCAGTTTCAGCAGGACGGACGCTACATGGACGCAGTCTGCTCTGTCCTCGTTAAGGCAACTCGTTAACCGACGGAGGGAGGACCCGCAGCGGCTGACACACACTCACACGCCCCCCGGGAGTGTGTGAAGGTGGTGTGTGACGGCAGGAAGGGGCGTGTCTGCAGACAGGAAGTGTGTCGAAGCAGCAGATCGATCATCGGAGGCGGCTCGGCGCTCCGACTTCCAGTGTTTTCACATTTATCTTACCGTATGTACACATAAATACAGAACGCGTCGCCAAGGAAACCAGCCGGCGCCGCCGGTCCAAAGGGTTTCAGTCTCTGAGTGGAACGGCGAGGCCCGGCCACACGGGGGCGCAGCTCAGTGGGCTGAGGAGGCGGAGCTTCACTGAGCTTTCCTTATGAAGATCTGCAGGAACAATTAGAAAATAAAAGAAAACTCAGCAGCATCACTCTTCAAAATAAAGCTTCACTGAACTATGGGCTCTTATTTTGTAAGAATGCTGGTACTTCCCCCCTTCCTCAAATCAAACATGGCTGACGTCTGTCAGCTGTGCTAACTCTGAGCAGCTCATTGGATTTGGTTCAGCCTTTTCCTCCAGGCAAAATCAGAGGGACAGGGTCGGCGCTAACCGGGTCGGCGCTAACTGGGTCGGCGCTAACCGGGTCCGCGCTAACCGGGTTGGCGCTAACCGGGTTGGCGCTAACCGGTTTGGCGCTAACCGGGTCCGCGCTAACCGGGTCCACGCTAACCGGGTTGGCGCTAACCGGGTTGGCGCTAACCGGGTCCGCGCTAACCGGGTCGGCG